CACTCCAGGGAGTACATAAACTATAACTTGAAAGCACACAGTCAAAAGATTTTTGAAATGGAAATATGTTGGGGTCCTAGAAGCATGGTTTGTGTAATCACACAGAATATCTCTAGTTAGAGTCTGTGTTAGACTAAAAGGGGGGAGTTGGCGGGGGTGGAAGAGAGACCTCTGACAAAAACATAATGAAAGGGAACATCCCGTTCAAAGACCACATTTATTGGAGAAAAAGAGGCCATTCTGGAAGTGAGAACAGAGGTGAAAACTACTTGGAAAGTTTATTGACTATTAATACTAAAAACAAAGCATCTGATAAAATTTTGCCTTACTTCTCATTGCTTAGAAGAAAGAAGAAATTATTCAATTTAGCAAACATTTCTGAATTTTTCTTGCACGCCAGATAATTTGCCAAGTGCCTGGGATACTTAAACAAGTTCAAACGCTGAGATGGAAGGAAGCTCTTGAGCTCTGACTTCTAACAGGAAGTGTCCAAAACTTCCTTTCATGGTATACAAAGCCCTTCACGTTCTGATCTCCAAAGGGCTTTGCAGCCTCATCTGTCAGAGTAACAAAGTTACTATCATCTCTATTGCTTTTCAGCACTTTACATCCTTATCTGCCTTAACCAGATCTTCACTCTTCCAGGTATTTCCAGTTGCCAAGTCCAGGGGAATTCTTTTGTCCCATATCATCTGTCTCTGACATTTCCACCTTCCACTTTTTCCTGGCTCTTTCCCTTTGGGCAATAAACATGCTCATTTATTTACATACAAAAAAAAAAAAACCTGTACATTAGCATTGTATAGTTCTTTGAGTTTCAAATCACTGCTTGTATGGAAAAGGTGTTGATATTACCTTAGGATAATGTTAGTTGGTTAGACTCTAAATATAACATGTTATTTTATTTTAAAATATCTAGCAAACAGCCACTAAGAACAGCCATATCTGTACAGCCCAACAATATCACTTCACCCTAATCTTTGCCAAGTGAACCATGGCTAAAAAACTAAGAACAACTAGACTGAATTCAAGGAAAGTAACCATAATGTGCACCTCAAATACCATTCCAATCCAGAGAAATACCAAACAGTGTGCTGGCAAAAACGTATCTGCAGTGATGAAAATTTAATAGAAAGCTCATAAATCTCTAATGAGACTCTAATCTGGAATCTTCTAAGTTTGGCCCATTTAAAACAAAATCACATAAATACTTTCAGTCTTATCAAATCTTGATGTTGCACAACAAATATGAATTCTTGTCTATGAGCTATTATAATATTATCGAGTGTTTTCATGTGCTAAAGGCTTCATATGCACTAGCTCATATAATCCTCATTTTATTCGATGAGAAAGTTGAGGCATAGAGTGGTCAGAAACATGCCCAGGGTCACTCAGCTAACAAGCAATGGTCTGTCAGACTCTCAAACCAAACTCTTCTCCAGTGAACTATAATGCCCCTCATAAGAGCCTCTTTCACTTGGCTTAGAAAATCAGTTTCATCACAGGCCTACCTTCCTGACTGGTCTTCTTCCTTTAAAAAAAAAGTTATAATACATTTCAAAAAAGAATAAATAATATCTAGACGATCATGTATCCAGCACCCAGAAGTAATACATTTGAATTTTACTATATTTATATCAAACTGTATAAACAAGTAAAATCATAACATGTACAGATGAATTTTAATTTTCCCCCCTCCCTAGAAGTAACCACTATGATGAAGTTGTGAATCTTTACACATCCTTTGTTTTTAAATTTCACAGAAATATATCTTACTGTAACATCCTTAGTAACACATGAACCTCAGTTAATATATTTCCTTTTATGATTGTGCTGTACTATAGTTTGTTTCATCCATCAATGCTGCAACAAACATCCTTATTTTTCCCTCATAGCAACTGATACTCCTTCCACTAGCTTTGTACGAATAATCCCACTTCTCTGCCACTAAACTAAACTTTGGTGTCATCAGATCTTCCAATGTTTGTATCTAAAGTAAGGTAATGCTACCTAATTACTATTTTATTGATAATTTGCATTTACTGGATCACTAGTGAGGTTTAACATCCTTTGTATGTTCTTAGCCATTTTCTCACATTTATGAACTGGCTATTCATAGTCTCTGCTGATTTTTAAAATAGGTTTTTCTTTTTTTTTTCAATTGATTTGAAAGAGTTCTTTTTATATTCTATACATTAAACCTTTGTAGCTTATAAGGGCTGAAAATATATTCTCTAGTCTGTGGCTTGCTGTGGTAGGCTCAATAATTAAAGTTCCCCCACCACCATCCAAAAAGAGGTCTGCATCCTAATCCTGGAACCTATGAATATGTTAGCTGATATAGTGGAAGGGACTTTGCAAATGTGATTAAGAGTTAAGAATCTAGGGCTTCCCTGGTGGCGCAGTGGTTGAGAGTCCGCCTGCTGATGCAGGTGACACGGGTTCGTGCCCCGGTCCGGGAAGATCCCACGTGCTGCGGAGTGGCTGGGCCCGTGAGCCATGGCCACTGGGCCTGCGCGTCCGGAGCCTGTGCTCCGCAACGGGAGAGGCCGCAGCGGTGACAGGCCCGCGTATCACACACACACACACAAAAAAGAGTTAAGAATCTAGAGATGGGGATATTTGTCTGGATTATCCAGATAGACCTAATATAATCACATAGGTCCTTATAAGAGGGTCAGAGACAGAGGATAGAGAACAGAAATTGAAGTGATAAACTTTGAAGATGGAAGAGGGCCATGAGCCAAGGAATGCTGGGCACCTCTAGAAGCTGGAAAAGTTAAAGAATCAGATTCGCCCCTAGTGTCTCCCAGAAGGTATGCAGTCTTGCCGACCCCGTAAGACCTATTTTAGACTTCTGACCTCCAGAAATGTAAGATCATTTCTGTTGTTTTCAGCACTAAATTTTTTTTTTTTTTTGCAGTACATGGGCCTCTCACTGTTGTGGCCTCTCTGGTTGCGGAGCACAGGCTCCAGACGTGCAGGCTCAGCGGTCATGGCCCACGGGCCCAGCTACTCCGTGGCATGTGGGATCTTCCCGGACCGGGGCACGAACCCGTGTCCCCTGCATTGGCAGGCGGACTCTCAACCACTGCGCCACCAGGGAAGCCCCCTCAGCACTAAATTTGTGGTAACTTGTTACAGCAGCAACAGGAAACTGATACGCTTGCCTTTTACTACTGACTTGTATGTTTTGCATTTAAATCCATCCTACTCCAATATCATTAGCATAGTTTTCCATATTTTCTTCTGTTTTTTTCTTCCAGTTTTATTGACACATAATTGACACACAGCACTGTACAGGTTTAAGGTGTACAGCACAATGATTTGACCTACATACATTGTGAAATGAGGACCACAGTAAGTTGAGTGAGCACTCGTCATCTCATATAGATACAAAATGAAATGGGAAAAAATTGTTTTCCTTGTGATGAGAACTCTTAGGATTTACTTTCTTAACAACTTTCATATATAACATATAGCAGTGTTAATTCTATCTATCATATTACAAGTTACATCTTTAGTATTTATTTATCTTATAACTAGAAGTCTGCATCTTTTGACTAACTGCCATCCAATTCCCCCTCCGCCACCCCTCACCCTGTTAACCACAAATCTGACCTCTTTTTTCTTTTTTGACCTCTTTTTCTATGAGTTTGTTTGTCTGTTTGTTTTTGAAGTATAATTGACCTACAACACCATGTTAGTTCCTGGTACACAATACAGTAGTTCAATATTTCTATACATTTCAAAACAATCACCGTGAAGTCGAGTTGTCATCTGTCACCTTACAAAGATATTACGTAATTACTAACTATATGCCCGGCACTGTACATTTCATTCAGGTTTGTTTTTCACATTTAGGTTGCCCTTTATCCATCTGGAGTTTATTTTTGGTGTCTGGAATAAAGCAAGATTCAAATGGTATCTTTTTCCATGTAAAGGGCCAACTGTCTTTCATAATAGTCCCACTGAAATGCTATTTCTGTCACCTTCCAAATTCCATTATTCATGAAGGTCAGTTTCTATGCTCTCCTATCCCACTCTTCTATTGGTCTCTCCTTGCACCAATACTCACTACCTTAATTATTACTGATGAATAATGCAATATCTGTATTTGGTAGGACAAGTGATCCTGCCTATTGTTCTTAAAAATAATCTTGGCTATTCTGAATCCCTATCTTTGCCAAATTAATTTTAGAAGGAGCTCATCGTGTCTTACCACCACCCCTGCAAAAGACAAAAGATTCTGTAAGCATTCTGCCTGAAATTTTATTAATTTGGGGAAGACCAAAATATTTACAATATTGAGTCTTTTCATCTATAAAATCTCTCTCCATCTTTTATGTCCTTCAAGAAAGTTTTAACAATTTTCCTCATAAAGAACTTACTTGCATATGTTAGATTTATTTCTAAGTATCCTATATTTTAATTGCTATTTATCTTGTAATCGGCAACTTTTAAAGATTTCATATTAATCCTAATAACTTGTCTGTGGATATTCTTGACAATTTTGTTTCTTCCTTTATACCTTTTGTGGTTTTAATCTTATTAAAGTGCCTAGGACTCCAAAATAATGTTGAATAGAAGTGGTGATAGTAGAGACCATTGTCTTCTGCCTGAATTTAAAAGGAAATGCTTCAGATATCTTACTTGGAAGTATGATGTTTACTGTAGGTTTTTGTTGGCCTTCATGTTCAAAATGTACACAGTAGTTACTGCTATTAACTATATATGAGTTCATCTGAAAATTTAAAAGTAACCAAACTCCCCTACACTTTATAAAGTCATTGCTTCCTTTCATCTGTGGCTGGATTTACAGTCATCTATTTATAGCTGTACCCCTCCCTTATTCATTACTCTTGCACAGAATGAATTATTGTCTTGCCAATTCTTATTCTACCTTTTAAGATCATTTATGTCATCACAGTCATAAATTTCATTTGAACTTTTTCTACAATCTCTTGTTACAATGTTTCTTTTGCTTTGCCTGCTTATAGCTACCAGGATTGGATCATACTTCAAAGGAGGCCAACTTCCATGCCAAGCCACCATGGAGACACTAAAGAAGTAATGAGAAGACTGCTGCTCCCATGGAAATGCAACAAAAGCAGGTTACCCCACACACTACTAGACCAATGCTTAAAAAACATTTTACTTAATGTTCCCAACTCACCTCTAGCCCCTCACCAACTGTTCTGGGGACTGTTATTTGGCAAAACTTTATTGAAAGCTAACATACCATCTTATTCCCTCAGACCATGTGAGGCCTAAGGCTGGACACATTGCTTTTCATGTCCAATTAGAAATATGCCCAGGATACTTATTCTGTTGAAGTGGAGGCTGTCAAAGATGTAAAAATACCTGTTCTAACAGTTTCTTTACAGATGAGTTAACTGAGGTCAAAATAAATTAGGTGGTTTGTACAAGGTCACACTAGTGAAAAGCAGAACTGTAAACTATGCTCGCAGCTCCTTTCGCTGTAAAATGACTGCAAATTATGCATCCATGGACCTCTAGAATGTAACATATGTCTGCACAGATAGAAATCAGCCTGGAGCAAACTGTCATTTGCAAGACATACTGATCTTGTATGAAGATGAAGTGTTAGGATTCCTCAATAGTATACCATTATGACACTTTAGCACTAGAAGTCCCAGCATGTCTGGGAATGCCAACTACAAGCAACACCCTCATAATTCTGCAGTTTTAACTAATAAAAGCAAAAATGAAAAAATTTAGCTAATATATATGTAAAGTTAACTCAACTGGATGTAACATTTCCCACAATGAATCCAGAATCACACTGGATTGTGGCATAGGCAGTAGTATTAACCAATCTATAGAAAAAGGCGTATCAGTTCCTAAGTGGGAACACAGTAGGGGGACAGGGGCTGTGAAAGTAATCAGAGAAGCAGGATAGACACAGTGTGTCTAGAATTTTCCAAGGAAAGGAGACACAGAATTTGGAGAATACAAACAACTGGGGAGGTGGGGTGGTGGAGTCTCTTTTGTGGGGAATATTAGCCTAGGTAAACTACTCAAGACATCTACCTAATTTTATCCAAATATTAAAATGTCTGATGACTAATTCCATTTCCTGGGTTCTTCCAGAGAGGCAGAAAAATACCCAGGACAGAATTCTCAAGTATTCTAGTTACTAGAATCCACCTCCTACAAAATTACCAGGTTGGCCTTCTGGTTCACCTATCAATCTCCTAGGTCTGATCAACTCAGGGTTTCAGGGCCACCAGGGTGAAGCATGGTTGACTTCACCAAGGAAATGTTACCTGTTGAGGCTGCCTCCTGGTCAGCTTGCAGATCTTTACTGGGATGCCCAATGTCACCTCATATTCCTTCCATTTCACCACCAAACCTACTGCCTAAACATGGCTTCAACAAAGACCTTTCAGAGATTCAAAACATACCTGGTAAAGGCATTAAGAAAACTTATATGCTCTCCTTACATAAACTGAATACACTCTTTAATCAGTTCTCGAAGTGAAAAGGCTGTAGCTCTCAAATCCTTTCCAAGAGGCACCTTCATCTACACTGCCTGGATTCCACAGGACCAAACCAGGGACATGCAACTGCATAGTTCAACTTATGTAGAGATGTTTCTTTTCTCTGTCTGTATTTTTACTCCTAATTTTAACTATTTATTTTTGACTTCATGAATGTGGAAGAAATGTAACTCCTCAAACAAAAATAGTAATACCATTCATTTGGAGCACCTAAGTATCTGTCTGCTAGTTTGACCACTAAAAATTGCTAAAAAGTTCCCTTCCCAGTAAATGCAGACTACTTTCCCATGCCTTTTTCAGCCTTATCAATACTTGGAGAGACTGACCAAAACACATTCTTTTTTTTTTCTTTTTTAAATCCAGTTTTCCTCCAATAGACAGGAAGCATCGTAGCCACTTAGTCTTTCCAAGTTGGTGTCTAAAGGCCACTAAGAGAGACCGAGCCTCTATTTTTATTCTTGTTCCTCAGCCAAGACTCTATTTTTACCCTGATACCAAGAATACTCTCTCCAGGAATGCCTTGAAATAAGACTACATTGCTGGGACTTCGCTGGTGGTCCAGTGGTAAAGAATGCTCCTTACAATGCAGGGGACACGGGTTCGATCCCTAGTCAGGGAACTAAGATCCCACATGCTGCGGGGCAACGAAGCCCATGAGCCACAACTACTGAGCTCATGCGCCTCAACTAGAGAGCCCACGTGCCGCAAACTACAGAGCCCATGAGCTCTGGAGCCTGTGCGCCACCACCAGAGAGAAGCCCGTGTGCCGCAACAAAGAGCCCACCTGCCGCAACTAAGACCTGATGCAGCCAAAAATTTAAAAAATTAAAAATAAATAAATAAATAATAAATCTTAAGGAAAAAAAAGACTACATTGCTGAGGTTGGGATCGAAGATCCTGAGTATGATCATCACTCCTGGAGTCAGCTCTGGTTGAAAGACCTGACTGAGTCACTCCTGTCACCATGTTGGGCTTCTAGTCATCATTGTGTAAATCTCAGCTTTGACCAAATGCTCCTAGGGAATCATCATAACTAGACATCTTAAAAATATTCCAGATCCTTACTACTTCCTCTGCAAAGACACTACTAACTAGGGACCCGGAATCAATGTCCCAGAATAGCTACCCTGTTTTTCTCACACTTAAAATTCTGAGTAAATATGATAGTAACGAGTAAAATTACTTACTCTATAAATGTAAGCCTCCAAGGTGACCCAGATAACTCTGCACACTCTAGGCAGGAAAGCCCTAGTTCCCCCAAAACAAGGTTTGAAATCAATACCAACGGTGTTCCGTGACTTAAAGTAACACTGCAAACCTAAGTAGCAGACAAGCTGTCATGTGACTTATCTAGCAGAATAATAAAATGATCAGGTTATTATTTTTATTAAGCAGCTCTACCAATTACAGTCACGATACTAACAGCTAATACTTATTGAGCGCTCACCATGTGCTAGGCATTTTACAAGCACCATCGCATTTAATATCCCAGTGGCCTTACAAAGTACTACTATGTTTTATAGATGAGGAAACTAAGTAACTTTGTCAGTGTCACCCAAAGTCGTTAAAGTATTCATTTAAGCTCAGGGCTATATTACTCTACTTCCTAAATTTTGCATTCTGATGAAAAAAAAAACAAAGAAAGAAGAAAAATATCAATCTTGGGAATTCCCTGGTGGTCCAGTGGTTAGGACTCAGTGCTTTCACTGCCGAGGGCCAGGGTTCAATCCCTGGTCAGGGAACTAAGATCCCACAAGCTGCGCGGTGCGGCAAAAAAAAAAAAAAAAAAAAAATCAATCTTTCATTAGTTGGATTTCATGAGTGAACCTCAATTTTACAATCTTCAAGCAAGTTACTTAAATTTTTATATTTTCCCTGTATTATTTCTTCCAACTTCATGTTATCATTCACGGTAATTAAACTGGACAAGAAAAAGTCTTATAAATATGCATCAGCGAAGTACTTACATAGTCAATGGGCTTGAGGGATTTGACTCTAGATGTTGGGCAGCCACAGGAAGTAAGGTCAGCATACAGCCCTTCTTCTAACACACACTGATGATTAGAAATGTCCTCTTGGTAATACAGGAGCCAGCTGAAAAAACAAGCAGTGAAACATTCAGTCAAAGTGCATCAGTTGGCAGTCTGACTCGTCATCATGCAGTGGGAGCCAGGGTAGGAGCAAGACATAAAACTCCTGGTGCTGGTCAGCAGCGAATACCCAGAGTCGGTTTGGAAAAAAAAAAAAAAAAAGCTACTACTATCACCTATTGACTGCTTACCATGTGCCAGACTAGGTACTCTGCATGCATTATTTCACCACGTACTCATTACTTTATGAGGTAGAAACAAGTGAGGTAGAAAAGTTAGGTGATTTGCCCAAGATTCCCCCAACTATTAAATAAATTTGAAATAAAACATCTGCTGTAAGCTAAAGACATTAACTTCATTCAGTGCTTTCAAGTATAAAAACCTGGGATCAAATTATAGTAATTATTAAGTACTTTAACAGATTAGAAATTCTTTTTGAGGAAAACAAAAATTTGTATCCTTATTTAATGATGAGTTTGCTTTCAGTCTAGGTTGAGTTAGAAGCTAGACTCCAAAAATCACACAACAGTATTTAAAACCTGTCACCTGCATAGCTGATAGCAAGCGGAGATTTTTAAAAAGAAATGAACCCTTTAGAATCTTCCATAGCAAATTATCTTCAATATAGCACTCATCAAAAGCTTGGCTAAGACATGCCATTTTGGAAAGAAGGGGCACAAGGGAGAAATTAATTGACTGTTACTACTTTAGCTTTGGTGTGTTTAAGTTCTAGCTCTATATCTTAAGATCACCAGAACCATGCTCTAGCTATACGAGGTTAACTTTAGATAACCACAGAAATGCTCTGTGACAAAATTTACTGCCACGTCTCCGACGTAACAAGCATTTTATAGCCAATATTTCCGAAAGGTTTTTCAATGTGCTGGGCATGCAGCTAAGCCCTTACGTGCATTATTTATTTAGTCCTTATAAGAATCCTTTGAGGTGAGTACTGTTATTAGCCCACATTTACACAGGAGGAAACTGAGGTTCAGAGAAATGGTCCAATTTGCTTGAGATTACATAGTGGTGAACTGGGCTCAAATCCTCATCTCTGAAGCATCCCTGGTACTTAGACAATCACCATGGTTCCTGTATTCTTTTATTAAAACTACAGTTTAATAAATTACACACAAATCTAAATAAAATATGTAAATAAAATGTACATTTTGTATGTAGTTGGCCCTCTGTATCTACAGGTTTCCTACCTGCAGATACAGAGGCCCGACTGTCGTCAGCCACTTTATATAAGGGCCTTGAGCATCCACAGATTTTGGTATATATGGGGACTCCTGGAAACAATCCCTCACAGATATCAAGGGACAACTGTGTATATAAATTATATATATATATACACACACACACACACACACACACTATACTGAAAAATATGTATAAATTATATATATTTATTTATAAGTAAATAACATATACATTTCCTACATGAAGCAACACATATGACTAATTTGTCCTAGACTTCAGTGTCTAGGACAAAAACATTCCCCTCCAAAAACAACTTCAGTGCTTCCTTTTATCAGAAAATTTAAACTATATCTTGCAAAATACTTCCTTTTTTCTTAGAGAAGAAAACTCAAATACTAGGAACAAGACTATTTCAGGCCCTTGATATACATATTTCTCACTAAGTTGCAGATAATCTATTTAACTAACTGTGTCCTACTTTATGTGTTTTCACATTGTAAAACTTTCATATCCTTCTTGGAAGTAAGTATAAGAACAGTAACAGATACAG